TGCCAGGCAGCCCTGGGCCCACTGGGCCTGTTGGCGGGGAGATGCCTGGCAGCCCTGTGGCCACACCCCAGGATGAAGAGGCAGGATGGCTCACAGAGAACGGCTGTGAATGGGGAGGGCTGAGGGAGGGCCTCGCACCCACACCGCTGTACTCAACGTTGACACTTGGAGAAGCAGTTACTACAGCCGTGGGGTCCTCTCGTTCTGTTGGACCTTGCTAACGTTTACCCTCTTAGCTGCTCTGTCCTGAGATTAGCTGGAGCTTGCTTGGAATGGTGGGTGGTGGGTCTTCAGGGACCCCGCATGTGGCCATGCCCAGCGTCCTTTCCACGTGAGCCCTTAACTCTCATCTGCAGAAAAGGAGGATTTTATTCTGTTTAACCTCCTTTCCCCTGTCATACGCGTGTATGCTTGGCATCTTCCTGTCCTAAACATTTTCTAGTTTAATCAACTGCCCGTAGACATTGCCATTCAGTCCGTCCGCAGCTGGGTCAGTCCGTCCGCAGCTGGGTCCCGGTCCCGGTCCCGGTGCCTCTACCGCTAAGCGTGGGGAAGGCTTGGGAACGTAGCTCAGGGGTAAAGTGCTCCCCTCACAGGTGCAAGGCGGGATACCAAGAACAAAACGAAGGGGGCGGGGAGATGGGGGGGAGGGAGGGAGAGAGAGAGACTATCAAAGACCTAGCACCTCCCCTGGGAACATGTCAAGAGCGCTGGCCCAGCCTAGACTTTAGGTGCCCTGAAGAGACTCCCTCGGCAATTCTTACTGTATTAAAGTTGGAGAACTATGAAGTATGTTGGGTTTTTATTATTATTTTCTGGATGTATTGGTTTCTCATAATTATAAAATATATTTTGTTCTTTTAAGTGGAAACCTGTTTTCTTTGGAATTGAATATTTTGTACTTTTATTTGCTTAGTTTTAAAAACATGACACCAATTCAACTACAAATGATCAGTTGTCAAAACATTCTCTCAGGGCCAGAGAGGAGTCAGCGGCTTCAACGCTTGCTGTACAGGCCTGGCGATGTGAGTTTGATTCCTGGAACCCAGAGGTTGGAAGGAGAGAACTGACTTCCATCACATTATCCCCAGACCTCCACACATGCATGGCCCCATGTGCATGCTCCTGCATTCGCTACACACACACATACACACACACACACACACACACACACGCACGCACGCACGCACGCACGCACGCACGCACGCACGCGCACACACACAAATAAATAAATAAATAAATAAATAAACAAACAATGTAATTTAAAAAGCCTACTTTACGGGGCTGGAGAGATGGTTCAGAGGTTAAGAGCACTGGCTGCTCTTCCAGAGGACCTGGGTTCAATTCCCAGCACCCACATGGCAGCTCACCACTGTCTGTAATTCCAGTTCCAGGGGATCCAACACCCTCACACAGATGTACCAATGCAAATAAATAAATCATTTAAAAAAAAAAAGCCTACTTCACAGCCAAGAGTAAGTAGTAGCTGTCACTTCTGTCACAATCCCAGCACTAGGGAGACTGAGACAGGAGGATTACCGTGAGTTCAAAGCCATCTGTGCAACTAGCAAATGCCCCTGACCCCAGCAGTCAACAGTGTGGGCCTGAATGCTACATGGGGAGAGGTGGCCACAGGAGCCTCAGCATCCATGTGGCTCTCACACCCACTCCTAACAACAGACGAGATGGAGAGGCAGGGCTGAAGTGGGGACCACGAAGGTGAGCAGCAAGAATTCCTGTTTCTCTTCTGCTTTGGTAGCAGTTTCTACCTGGGAGTCGGGCTTCAGTGGGTCACGTTCCTCTCAGAACCCCCCAAACTTGTGCACCAGTGGGAACCCCGCTGCTCCCTCCCCACCCATGCATTAACAGTGCCCAAGCTCAGTGCAGCAGAAGGGGGGGCAGGACCCATACTGCCCTCGGCCTGGCAATGGAGCACACCCACAGAACTGGTTACATGTTGGTTTCAGAGGACAAGTTCCCCAATCTGGTTCTTCTCCCCGTGGGCTTAGTGCTGCAAGCCGTAAAAAATATATGAAGTAGGATTTCAGCGGATTAGGACAAAGCTAATACCTGGAAGAAGCCATGGGCCTTCCAGAGGTCAAGCTGAGGCTCAAGGAGTCTTGGTGATATTGGCTTTTGATTATTAGCCGTTTCCTGCTATGAATTTCTCATGTGCTACTATAGCTTTTCCATCATTCATTGGGCACAATCTCTCCTCTACTAGAGGAATATTTGGATAACCTTCTGTGCAGTAACGCAGCCAGGATCCCTAGTTTCAGGCCTCTCTGTCATTATCGTCATTAGCAGCATCCGGCCAGGCCCGTCCCCAGACAGATGAAAGTATCTTATCAGAGACACCTCTGTACTCTCTAAGAACAAATTTAAGCAGCCAGGCCACCTGTTTGAGAGGGCCTGGTGGATGTGCTAATTAAGCTTAACTTTCTCCCTTTCCAAAGTCTTATCTCTAGTTTTCGATCTACCTTTAACAATTAACTCAGAACCGAAGGGTTTCTACTTACAGGTACATCAAGCTGACACAGAAGTTGCCTAGTGATGGAGCACATTTGCCAGAAACAGCGGGAACAGAGATAGCTTGGAGAGATAAGGGTCAAAGGGATAAAAGGCAGTTTTATTTTCAGAGGAAGGGACAGAGAAGAGAAAAGAGAATGGAAGAACTAGATGGGTAAGAACTGGAGAGGAATGAACTGAGATGGAGAAGAACTAGACTGAAGGGCCAGAAGAGAGGGACTAGAGGGACAAGATGGAAGATGAGGAAGAGCCAGATGGGGAGGAACAAGATCGGAAAGAAGGAGATGGGAGAGGAGCTAAGATGGGAAAGAACTGGATGGATGAGAACCTAGATGGGGCAGAACTAAGATGAGAGAATTACGATAGAACTTAGAGGGGACAGCAGATAAATGTAGAAAGAAGTCAGGCAAGAAAGGAGCTAGGCATGAGAGCAGAACAGAAGCTGTGTAGACAGAGAACTGACACAGAATAATAAAGTGTATGTATGGACTGAGGAGTTTTGTGTATGTAGATTCATTTCATATCATCAAAGATTAAATTATCAGCTGGTTGTAGATTCTTCTCGGACCCTGGGAGGGGACTATTGAGGGGCTGGACCCCCCATAGTCCCTGTTAGCTTGGGTCAGCTATTCTGCTGGTCCAAGTTGGATTCATAAAGCAGACACTCCACAGGACAGTACAGTGTAATGCCTGTGGGGTCCCAGCGACGGCGACATGCCAGGGAGTCTGACTCCTACGGTAGTCTAAATTCAAACGGTATCCCCTTCTCAAGATGGCTCCTGGTCCCAGCACCCTGCGTTTGCTGGGAGATAACGGGAAGTCCTTTCCCCAAGTCAAGCTACTGTGCAGCTTTTCCCGAGTGTCCTGCAACCCCAGGTGCTTCCCAGTTGCCGTGTTTCCCAGCACCATGTGGGGACTCTCACTGGGCTCTGGCTCTAGAGCTAGGCGTAGGTGTCGGCTCCAGATCACTAGATCTAACAAGGTTCCAGCGTCTCTCTGGATTCCAGTGTTCTCCAATATCACCCACCTCACAATGCAGCAACACACCTGATACTTCTGTTGTGAAGGTGAGGCTGCATTTTGTCAACCTTTTTATTTTCTGGTCTGTTAGAGTTAATATTATAGTTAGAAGCCAGAAAAACCCAAAGGTCATTTTCAAGTACGTTTACTTCTCTGTCCTATCATACAGAATTGTGTTAGTTCAGGACCTGAATTGTGCCTGTCCCACCAAACACCATGATCACAGACACGTAAGAAAAGCAGGGATGTTTGATCACATTGTGAACCCTGAGACTGAGTTAAATAAAATCAACCTTGGGTCAAGAGGTGGAGCCAGCAACTCGTTGACAGGAAGTAGCCATAGTGAGTTAGAGGGGAGTCGGGAAAATGGACAGAGATGCACAGGAAGCAGTGAGACTGCCCTTTGAGTCTGATGGCTTTTTTGCTTTGGGACAGGGGAAGAGAGCTGTCTTTCTGAGATGCTGGCTTTCTGAGGACGAAGGTCAGCTGGTTGCTCCTTGGCTCCTGGGGTCTTTATTAGTAAAATCCTAACATTGAGATTTAGTTTAACAACAGCACAGCTGAAGAAACCCCTGACCAGAGCGCATCCTCTATCTACTACATCCTGTTTGGCTTTGGTGCTGCTAATGAAACATGGTGCCTCACACAATACTAAGGTCCACGACAGAAGGTATGTTTCAAAGAACATTCACAGGTTGTGGGGGGATTTGTTTTCCTCCTCCTTCCTTTCCATTGTGGTCACAGAATTATTTAGAGACCCATGTAGGAGGTGTTGAGGTAGTGTCACATGCCTGTAATCCTAGCCCTGGGAAGGTTGAGGGGAATGGAGGGGAGGGTGTCGATCTGAAGGCCAGCCTGCACCCGTGTGTATGCACTGTACATCTTGAGAGCTCTGCAGTAATGTTCTGTGCAGCACAAGCAATGAGTCGTTTCCTTCTAGGCTAATCACTGGTAGATGCGATCGGTCGGAATGCTTTCTTTAGCGAGCCTTTAACAAAGCAACCTCTAAAGGAAAAGTATAAACCAAGTGAGGAATGAGGTTAATAAAATTCAATGCTCATTTAACTATTAGATTTCATTTTATTTTGTGGGAATTTCCTTTTCCTAACCCAGATTTTAGCAAAATTTCAAGTAAATACAATAAATGAACACAGAATGTGGCTAGTTATTTATGTCATCCCCTTGTCTGGGGTTTCAGTTATGAGAGGTCAGCCATTCTGAATCGCAGCAAGGCACCGCCGCACATCCTGAGGCCAGGGAAGGCTGTGTGTGTAAAGGGCTGGCCATCAAGTCTGACGACCTGAGTTCTGGCCCACCACGTGGTTGAAGGAGAGAACCAACTTCCACAAGTTGACCTTTGACCTCCACAAGTGCTCTGTGGCATGTATGCCTACACCCACACATATAGCACACACATATACATACTAAGTGTAATAAAAACATCTTTAAGATACTTTGAGAGACCAGATAAACATAATCTTTATTAGAGTGTATAGTCATAATTCTTCTTATTCTAATTCTTACTTTGTTCAATCAATAAACTTTGTCACAGACGTACACACACAGGAAAGAACAGTTCACATAGTTAAGTACAGTTTCAGGCAACCAAGGGAGTCTGGGGACATGGACGAAGGGACTGCAGCCCAACCATTTCTGTCTGGTATAGCACATCTTGAGGACAGGCAATATTTACTTAAAGGCTATGACCATTTCTGCAGGTGTGGATAGAGGACTCTTTTTCCCAAAACAGCAGTACTGCTGATCTGAATGACTGAAGTAGGGAAACAGTTGCTGCATGAACTCTTTGGAACATTTAAAGTTTAGTAGGGATTCTGTAACTTTACATGCCTTTGCAATACCACTCAGGTACAAATAAATGCTTTGCTTCCAGCCAGACACAAGCTCAATTCACTTAACACGCTAAGTCATGCTATTACCTTATTTGGGAAAAACAGGCGGGCAGAAGTCAGTTCAGAACGTCTCCCATGAACGGGCACTTCCATTACGTAGAAACATGTTTCCCGCAGAATGCACTAGGAAGAAAGCCATAAGCGGAGGTGGGCATGTCTTGGGAGGTACCGTGAACTGGTTTTAGAAGAGTATGGGGAGGAGAGGGGCTGAGGCAACTTGTCACCCAGTTTTGAAGGTAAAACAGGACGGTTGACATTTAGGCATCTCAAAACCAGGCAAATCTCAAGCAGGTGAGATGGTATTACTGTTTCTGCAGGGAACTGGAGCTGAGCACTGGTGTGTGCATGTATCTTCCTGTTTATCACCAGTGTGGCTACCTGCTCAACAGACTGTCCTGGCATTCAGCACTGATGTTCAGAACACAGAACAGCCAACTTCCTTTCTGCATCATTTCTTACTGTGTTCATCTGTGTATTACTCGCTTGCACTGATTTTCTGAAATGTTCTTTGGAAGCTCACACCATCAGAACAGCATCTTCAGCTTCAGCAGGTGGTCTTATTTCACAGGTTACACGTGGCGTACACAACCTTCTCCTGGCCTCTTCCGGTCAAGCTCTATGCATGTTCTAGCCAAACAATAACATTCCCCTGTATATATGTGTATATATGCACAAATACACTAAAAACACAGAACTATATAAAATCATACACCACATAAAGCAGAATCATACTGATTTCCTAGTTGTCAGTACAAGAAAATGCATGCAGGGTAAGGCCCACAGAGCAAGGGGCTTATGGACATAGATTTCCAATCTCGGTTTGTATTTCCTGGAGTATAGTGACATGTCTTCCTTCTCAGCAAAATATTTAAAAATTTTTAGGTATTTCCCACTGTGTTAGATTTAAATGAAAACACTCCCTACACACACGACAATAAAAGCAAAACAGCTTACAACACATTCCATTTTTAATACATCAGTTTCCAAGGCAACATTATTCACCGACTCTGCCACTGTCCCTAACGTAACATGGGAGTGCGAGTGGGGGTGGGGCACCGTCCAGCAGGGCTCAGGTGCTCTTCTTCTCTTCACCCAGTAAGTTCACAGTAGCTTTCTTGACTGTTGGGGGAAAGAACATTGTATCAGAAGTTTTTATAGTGTAAGCTCCATGCTTCCCGGCCACTAGATAAAGTGGGTGACTAGGATGGGTGAATTGTGCAGCTGAGCACACACCAAGGCTGTGGTCAAGGCTGAGAGGGTTCCGGGAAATGGACAAGGACAATGCTCTTTAGAGCACAAATCCTCGACTTAAGCGGCATTCTCGAAGGTCATCTAGCCTCAATGCGTGTACGACATCATCACCTCAACTATCTGTCCTGTCTCCCTCAGTCATCAAAAGCACAGGGATTGTCACGTGACCAGAGTCAGAGGAAGGGCCCACGCCAGCACTGTAAACATCCAGACCTGCTCACTGTGCCTCTATCCCCCCCAGGACAGAAGTGCCGGATGAGATGGAGGTGAGGCAGAGTCTTCTGGAAGCTCTGGTGAGACTCCACAGATGGGAGCTGTTTTCCATGGAGCCCAGAGTCCCCTGTCCGCAGGCTTTCTGGCAGTGGTTTTCCATTCACCCACTTAAAATCACCAGGTAAGGTTGACAAGGAAGGAAACAGTCTTTCTTCCTCAACTAGCTGTGTGAGAAATACCCAGTGGATCTGACCCATCTAGTGAACCAGTGAGCCAGTGAGCCAGCCCCACTTTCCTCCAATCTAAAATCCTCTTTGGGGTCTGCTGTCATGGTCCAAAGCTGGACCTGAGCAGTTGAGACAGATCTGATAGCCCATGACACCTGAACCTAGTCACGGTATGTCCCTTCAATGGCAGCCTCTTTCTAGACAGCTATCCACGCCGCTTCCTGTTCCATCCACACCCATCACTACCATCTCTCTTTCTCCACTTCCTGAAGCTCCTGTCACACCCCCACCCCCAGCTTCTCTAGCACAACCTCCATTTCCCTCTGTTTACAATGTCCCAGCCCTGGCCATTCCCTCTGTGGCACACTAGGTAGATGCTCTCTCTCAGTCTGCCTGAGGACGTGGTTGTGGGTAGCTCACTCTCTTACCACCAGACTGTGTTCTCTACGATCTGCTTCCTCCTTGCGGATATTGCCCATTCTCTCATGACATGGCTCCCCTTCTCTCCAGTCTCTTCAGATGAGCGCTCCCTCTGCCCACTCTTCAGGCCACTAATCTGTCCTTGTTGCTAAGTCTGACGGCTGTCTCTTCTGGGTCTTCTTCATCTGACCTAACCCTGCTGGCAGGTGGCTTTCCTGCTATCCTAATCCGCTTCTCCCTGCCAGTGCACCCGGCTGGTGATGCACTTCCGTCTCTTATACCCTCGATGTAAACCTGCCTCCTGGGCTCTCAATATCTGTATCCACGTGGCTGTCTTAACTGCTCCATGCAGGTATCTATCTAATAGACATTCAGACATCTGCCCAGGACTGGATTCTGTATTTCCCACTACCCAGTCTTCCCGCCTCAAAGGCAAGTCTATCCTTTCAACTGTTGAGGCTGGAGAGCCTGGTCTGGCTTCTCTCTCTGCAACTTCTAGCCTAATTCATATACAAATCCTACTGTCCCTACCTTAAAAAATCCACTTTCATACTTATTATTGCTACTTCACTGTCACTACTACAAATCCTGAAGCTAACAAATCCTGAAGCTATCATCTCTAGCCAGATCACAACATCCCAACTACTGATTTCCTTCCTTTTTTTTTTTTTAATAAGATTTATTTATTATGTATACAGTGTTCTGTCTGCAGGCCAGAAGAGGGCGCCAGATCTCATTACAGATGGTTGGGAGTCACCGTGTGGTTGCTGGGAATTGAACTCAGGACCTCTGGAAGAACAGCCAATGCTCTTAACCACTGAGCCATCTCTCCAGCCTGATTTCCTTCCTTCCTGAGTCCATTCCCTCACCTTCCCCCCAGAGCTGAGGACCGAACTCACCAGCTCCTTGTGCTCGCTAAGCAAATGCTCTAGAACTGAGCTAAGTCCCCAACCCCCTCACTCTGCTCTTAGTGCAGCGGCCACAGCCCACACTGCTCCCTGCTCAGCACCTTTCTCACACACAGTTGAAGCCAGCGCCCATGGCCCCTGGGCAGCCCCCGTCTGCCTCCTGCCCGCCTCTCTGTCTCTGTCTCCTGCTCTCCCTCCACGTTTCCTTTACTGCTTCTCCCTCCAAGCTTTCCCACAAACAGTTCCTGGACAATCTGCCCTCCGGTTTCCTGCTACTTTCCAAGTCTGACTCAGGACAGCCTGTGACGGCTATCTTGGTTTTCAACTCAGCACACCTGGGAAGACAGAACCCCAGTCGTGGGAGTCTGTGGGCATGTCTCTGGGGACATTTGCTTGATTGTTAATTGATGCAAGAGAGCCCCACCCCGTGTTGTATAAGAAAGAAAGAGCCCAACACAAACCTCGAAGCCAGCCAGCAAGCTGCACCCTCCCTGACCTCTGCGGCCAGCTCCTGCCTGGGAGTCCCTGTTAAGTTGCAAACCTTTCCTTCCCAAGCTGGTTTCTGATGGAAAGGTTTTATCACAGCAGCAGAAAACCAAGCTAGCACAGCCTCCTGGTGAGGATTTCCCGACGTCTCTATTGTCAACAAACTGCTCTTCTAGCTTCTGCCTCCCAAACGCTGAGGTTGCGGTCACGTCACCACACCCAGCAGCAGAAACAATCAGAATGTCATGCTAAACCGGTCAGCCTGAACTGACCTACAGAATTTATCGAACGGTAGATGATACTCTAAAATATCTGCCTCAAGTGGACAAGTAATTTTTCTAATGTGATGACTGAATGTGTCACCGAGGAAGCAGCGGAGGAACCGGAGAGGACAAGGAGGCCAATAAGCCTGCTGGTGGAGCCCAGGGCATCACACTCCACACACTGCACCAAGTCCCCTAAGCCTTACCTTCTTTAGTGATGGCGTCTGCGGTCTCTTTGGCTTTGTCTTTCACGTCCTTCACCACGTTGTCTACCTGGGACTCATGTTTCAGGAAGATGGGCCGGATGATGCGTCTGTAGAGCAGCTCAGCCCCGTTAGACGGGCTCGGGGCCATGCACCACAGCAGGAAGCCACACTGCAGGGGGCAGAGCACCGGTGAGTGGGGACCTGGGCACTCGGGGACCACACTCACGCCCCCCCACTCTGGGGATAGCTGCTGTTTCTGACATCTCCACTGGTGTTTCTGGGGTTCTCTGAAGGCTAACTGGAGGCTTTTCTTAGATAGAAAAACACACAAGCATTCATGGACCAGCAGGAGCTACACAGAGAGACTATCTCAAAAGAGAAGGAAGAGGAAAAGAGGAGCTGGGAACACAGTTCAGCTGTTTCAGTGCTACCTAGCCCAGTCAAAACCCTGGGTTCAATCCCAGCACCCCAAAAACTAGGTACGGTGGGGCCAGCCCATAATTCCAGCCCTCTGTGGAGGTGGAGCAAGAGGACCAGGCATTCAAGGTCCTCCTCACCTACACAGGGAAGTGGAAGCCATGGGACATGTGAGACCATGTCTAAAATAAGCAGATAAATAAAATAAGTAAGAATGGGAGGTAGGGAGAATGACAGGAAAGTAAAGGGAATATAAATATGTCATCATGAAACCCACCATGTTTTAAAGTGTGTGTGTGTGTGTGTGTGTGTGTGTGTGTGTGTGTTCTGAAATATGGTGCATGTGAGTGCAGGGGCACGCGTGGAGGTCAAAGGCCAACTTTCAGGAATCAGTTCTCTCCCTCCACTGTGGGTTCTGTGAATCAAGTGCAGGCCGTCAGTCTTCACAGAGAACACTGTCACCCCCGGCCCCATCTTGTCAGCGGAAACCTTTTCTTAAAACTTTTCTTAAAGTGACTACCTACTAATAAAAACCAATGAATAAGGGGCGGGGAGATGGCTTGCTGCACAAGCATGGGGACCTGAGTGTGTGGTGTGTGTGTGTGTGTGTGTGTGTGTGTACACATGCAGGTAAGCACACACACCCTACACACAGATACACAGACACTCAGCGGCAGGCTTACCACTTTTAACATACAAGATTGAGGTCAACATAGGCAAAAAGCGAAACTTCAAAGAAAGGAGAGGGATATGTCTCTGGCTAGTATGTTTACATAGAATGTCTGGTTTTCAGGAATAAATTATTCATAAAGAGACAGATAATCACTTCAAAAGTGGCATCAAAGTGAGACACAAAAGACCCACCAGATTAAGAATCAAAAGGTCCATTTCATGAGCTTAAGCAACTCAGCATATTTGAATCCTTTTTCTGTTCTATGGGGTTTTAGGAAAATCATGATTTGTTTTTTATGGTTTTTTTTACATTTATTTATTTACTTTATGTGGACAACTGCTTTGCCTGCAAGTATGTATTGTGACATATGTTCATATAGTGCCCACAGAGGTCAGATCCCTCTGGAAACAGAGTTATGGGTGGCTGTGAGCCATCATGTGGGTGGTGGGAATCGAACCTGGGTCCTCTGGAGGAGCAGTAAGTTGCTCTTCACTGTTGATCCATCTCTCCAGCCCCATAATGTTTTTTTTATCAGTTAGCAGTAGAGCAACAGTATCATCTAAAGTTCTCACTGTTCATTAGTGGAACCCTCTGAAACGCCATCCACCTACAGAGACTCCAGCGGGCAGGGTCTCTTTTCTGCATGAATTAAGGCAGGACTAACAGAGCGGAGCCAGGTGTCTCCAGTTCTGTTCTCAGTGTGATCATTCTGTGGAATACACAGCCAGAGATCCACTTGGTACTTCCTGGTACCCTCTAGCCACTGTCTTGGGACAGTAAAATAATTACTGCTCAGTATCTACATTCTCAGCATTTTCCAGTTCTCATATTAAAAATAAGGTTAATTACCATTCAACTCTCAAGGCAATACCCAGCTACCAGCTTTCAAAACTCCACCTTAATCTATGTTAACTATTTCTCACACAGATGTGACCTCATTTTCCATCAAGCTCTCCTCCGAGTGCCCGATGAGAACTCTCCCAGAGGCACACATAAGCCCACTCTTACCGACAGTTCAGACGAAAGACACATACTGCTTTAACTGGACCACTTCCACATCAGCACTGACACAATAAATCCACATGACAACAGCCAGACTTCTGTCTGCGGCTCCAAAGCTAGTTGTAGGGGTACAACTGATAGTCAGGGACCATCCTGTCAGAATTTAAAGCTAATTTAAAGCTAACACCAGAGAAAATGTATCTCTAGGGCTGGAGATGTAGCTCAATGACATAATACTTGTCTAAAATGCACCAGGCCCAAAGGTCAATCCCCAGCAACACACACACACACACACACACACACACACACACACACACACACACACACACACACACACACACAACACACATGCCTGGTTTTATGTATCAACTTTTCCTACTCTGCTACAATGAACTGGTCAGAAACCTAAGTCTATCATTTATGTTCTGATAACATGAAAATAGGAGAGAAACTGTCTGAAGAACAAGAGAGAGGAAATATGCTCAGAATACAACATGTATTTGCATGAATGGCCTTATGTAAACTTGTATAACTAAGGAAGGAGGAAAATAAATACATAAATCTAGATTTTGGAAAGCCTTTGCAATATAGCCACAGAAAGGTGTCAGGTTAAATTTAAAATCAACTGTTCAAAAAATAAAGAAAATAAAATCAATTGTTCAAGCTGTGCACAATAATTTGAGGTTACCTGAGCTACACAGTAAAATACCTATCCCTTCATTTGTAAGTTACGCCACTAATAAACTTTCCTTTTAACTACGTGGAGTGGCCTTAATAATTTCACCAATAGCTGAGAGTTCTTACATCTTGACCCACAGGTAACAGGAAGTAGTCTGAGACACTGGGCATGGCTTGAGCATATATGAGACTTCAAAGCCCACCCCCACAGTGACTCCAACACCCTGTCTTTAGGGAAATGTAAAACAAAAGTGACTGTTCTTCCTGAACCACAAATAAAATGACACAGAGCAGAGAAGGGGGGTAAGATACAAAGGTAAGTTTGTATCCTACTGAAGTACCTATTTTCACTTCTGCTCCTGTGATAATACAGTCTGACAAAGCAACTTAGGGAAGGAAAGGGCATGTTTCAGCTTCCAGGTCCTTCCCTGAGGGAAGGCAAGGCAGAAACCATGGAGGAACATGCTTGCTGCTCACCATAGTCTCAAGTTCAGCTTTCTTACCCAGCCCAGGACCCGCTGCCCAGGGAATGGCACCACCCACAGGTGGCCCGGGCTCGCCTACAACAATCAGCAATCAAGACACTCCCCCAAGGCACGCCCACGGGCCAGTCAATTGAAACCCACTTCTCCGGCCACTCTAGATTGGGTCAAGTCCACACTCAACACTAACGAGGACCAAGTTAAAATGAGAAATGGTGGCTCCGGGGAGAGATGGCTCAGTCCCTAAAGCACTTGACGTGGAGTGTGAGCACAGGACTTGACCCCTAGCACCCATGTGCAAAGCTGGGTGGGCTAGACAGGCTTCCCCCAGAGCAAGCTGGCTAGCAAAACTGATGAGCTCTGGGTTCAGCAAGAGACTAAGCCTCAGTAAATGAAATAGGAAGCAATCGAGGAAAACACTGATATTAACTTCTGTCCTCCACACATTGTGCCCATATATGTGGACATGGACACAGACAGACACACATAAGAAAGAAATGTTATCACGTTCTTCGCCAACAAAAGGAAAAGCATCTTGTGCAACCCTCCTGCACTGTGGACATTTCCTTGGGGTTATATTGTGAGGCCATCATTTTTCAATTCAACAAGAAACTCTCATGTCTGTTCTAATGACACACTGTTCACTGCCAGTACATTACATGGCCCATTCCCTGTACACTCATTCACACCAAGGATTTTCAATCTTTAAACTCTCTGCCAGGCCGGGCTTGGTGACACACACCAGCGTTTACTGCTGTGGAATAATCCTCTTGTACACTGTGAAGATTTGTCACTTGAATTGGTTTAATAAAACAATGATTGGCCAGTAGCCAGGCAGGAAGTATAGGCTGGGTGACCAAACTAAGAATGCTGGGAAGAGGAAGGGCAGAGCAGGAGTTGCCAGCCAGACACAGAGGAAGCAAGATTAGAATGCTGTACTGAGAAAAGGCACCAAGCCATGTGGCTAAACACAGATAAGAATTATGGGTTAATTTAAGTGTAAGAGCTAGTCAGTAATAAGCCTGAGCTACCAGCCAAGCATTTATAATTAACATAAGCCTCTGTGTGGTAATTTGGGAATTAGCTGCTGGGTATTTAGGAATTGCTGCTGGGACAGAAACTTCTGCCTACAGTTTAATGCACAGCAAGTTCAAGGTCAGCCGAAGTCACAAGAGACTGTCTCAAAAAACAAAAATCTGTCAATTTAGTGAATACAATATGAGGCTTTATTATTTTAACTCCCTGTGTTGGAAGTTTTTGTCAACTAGACACAAACCTGGGAAGAGGGAATCTTTTTAACTATTTTTTATTTTGTTTTACATGTCCAAGTGTTTTACCTGTCTGTATGTCTATGCATCATGTATGTGTCTGGTACTGGTGGAAGCCAGAAAAGGGCACGGGATCCCCTGGGACTGGAGTTATACATGGTTATGACCTGCCACATGAGTGCTGGGAATTGAACCCTCGTACCTCTTCCAGAACAGCCAGTGTTCTTATCTCTTCAGCCCCAGAAGAGGGAATCTTAATTGAGAAAATGCCCCCACCAGATTGGTCTCTACACAATTCTGTGAGAATTTTCCTGATTAATAATCGATATGGAGCCGGGCGGTGGTGGCGCACGCCTTTAATCCCAGCACTCGGGAGGCAGAGGCAGGCGGATCTCTGTGAGTTCGAGGCCAGCCTGGTCTACAGCGCGAGATCCAGGAAAGGTACAAAGCTACACAGAGAAACCCTGTCTCGAAAAACCAAAAAAAAAAAAAAAAAAAAAAAAAAAAAAAAAAAAAATAATCGATATGGGAGGGCGCAGCCTGCTGTGGGTGGTGTCACCGAGGCAGGTAGTCCTGGTTTGGGTAAGAAAGCAGGCTGAGCAAGCCAGAGAAGCAAGCCAGGAAACAGCACCTCTCCACGGCTTCTACTTCAGCTCCTGCCTCCAGATTCCTGCCTCGACTTCCCTCCACAACAGACTGACTGTAAGCTGTAAGACAAAGCCTTTCCTCTCCAGGCTGCTTCTGGACAGTGTTTTAACTAAGACACCCCAACCCCATGTCACTGGGGAGGGTGCTTCTTGGACACTCACACTTACATTTTTTTCTTTTTGCTTAAATAGCTATATAGAAATTCTGCCTGTTTTTTCTTTACAGGAATTTTTATATATTTTGTATATCAGTTCCTTACTTGATATAAATCTTGTAAATATATCCTCCTGGTCTGTCATTTTTTGATGCAGTTTTATGCTACCTGTTGCCATACAGAAATTGAGTTATTAAAATGTTTATTTAGTCAAATTTATCAAATCTTTTTTGGGACTTTTGCATTTTTTGTTTCCAGACCTCGAAGTTTAAAAAAAAAGGGGGGAGGGAAACCAACCAAAGATCATGATTTCCTCACTCTTCAGGATCTGGCAGATACAACTTCGAGGCATCTTTGAGGTTGGGGAGGGGAAGATGGAGGGGGGAGTCACTCATTCACTGTTTCTTCTGCTGCCTCAGTCTCCCCAAGCTAGAATGGACTCATCCACCCCAACTCTGGCATAAATGGGTGTGGCCTTTATTCCACAGCCAGAGTTTCTGAATCCCTTGGAGGAAAATTGGTTTTTAGACCAAAATAATAAGACACTTGATGAGTACACTGTTTCTAAAGAAAAACAAGATAATCAACTACAGACTGTCAGGATCGAAACCACAACTGAATGACACGGAATTTTACAGCAGACTGTTTCCAGCTCAAAGAAGTGAGACGGCTGTGTGAGCCTCGTGGCCAGAGCCGAGAGCTGACGCTGGAACCGTACAGAAGGAGAGACCCGACTCCTGGAGGTGTCCTTGGCTGTCACAAGCGCACACTCACACAAGTAAATTAAAATTAAAATACGAGCCCAGCAAAAATAGTCAGGCTTGAAAATTATGGTAGTTGAAATAAAAATCACAACACATGACATTAATTGTGGAATGGTTCTAACTATGAGCAAATGTAAGAACTAGACAGACAGACAGGAAAGAGGGACATGTGGACAGATTTTTTTTTTTAAAATAAAGGCTAAAATCAAATAGCAAAGGAAAACTACGTTTCTTATATCTCAGAATTTAAAATCAGGAGAAAGGAGCTGGTGGGGTAGCTCAGTGGTAGAGCGCTTGCAAAACCCTGGTTCAACTCCCCACCCAGAAAAAAAAAAACAAACAAAAAAGAAACTGAAGAGTGAAAAGGCGCCATTATCTAATCTCCCGCACCCAAGCTTCCTTAGATTAAAAATGAAGTATGCAAATGTATACAAATAAAAATAAAAACAACTGTAAATGAGTTAAAGATGGATGAGTAACAATGACCAGGTGGAGAGAAACTTCAGGGGTGCTGCAGCATGCTGACTAGATGACGGACTGAATGGCATTTTCAAGTCATACTTCTGTAAGTGGGAACGATGGGGACATGGAAGGGTGTAAGCATCAGGTAGGATGGGGGTCGGGGAGAAGAGCCAATTATTTTTCAATGGAAATCAAGAGATATGTATAAAATAGAAAAAAGCAACTAAGCCAAGTAGTAGAGACACAGAGGTAAACGACAAAACTAAATTGCCATAAAAGAGGTGAAAGTGAGCCTTTTTGTTTTTTAAAAATATTTACTCTTATTCTGTGCACATGAGTGTTCAGCTTATGTGTGCCTGGTATCCATGGAGGCCGGAAGAGGCATCAGATCCTCTGGACCTTTAAACTATGCCACGAGCACTGCACGTTAAAATGACTACAAGGGAGAGGGGATAGCCTAGAGTCCCTCACGGCTGGACACGGCACCTTCTCTAGCTTGCAAACTCTGCGCTCTGGCACCCAGAGGTGTTAGGTACATGTCACCCACTGACGAGAGCAGAGCCTCTTCCGTGGAAGACAAGTGGGAAACCACCCGGGGAGAAGAACCTCCATATCCATGAAATGGACACCTTTCCCTCTCTTGTTCACCTCTGGTGCAGACCAGAAGCCCACAGAGATCCAGCTATGAGTTCCAGTTTCCTGTCCACTTCCCCAAATGTTGGCAGCTTGGGCTTGTCCTGTGCCAAAAACAAGGCTTGGCAGGGCTGAGCTCTGACTACTACACCAGCCAAAGTTACCAAGATGACTTTCAGAAGCAACGGGACATTTTCTTCTCCAAGTCTATCATGGGAATGACATGCTTTCCCCCAAATAACCACTCCTGTCCAGCACTATGAATGCTGAAAACATGCTGACGTTTCTTTGTTGCGTCACACGTCACTGCATGAAGATTAATGGCAACACTTGTGTCAAGTCACAATGCTTCCAATCCCTGCAACTGCCAAACACACCTTTTGACACCAGCTGTCCCGGCTCTTCCAAGGCCTTAAACAAAGGAAGGGAGGGAGCCATGAATGCTGCCTTCTCAGCTGTAATCGGAGACAAGAACCCTAGCAGCCCACATTTAAGTCCTTGCTCCTACTATTCCTGGTAAAGGGCCCTGAGACGGAGTCCAAGAGAGGGCAAAGGAGACAGACGTGGAGGTGATGGCCCATTAGAAGCCACTGTACCTTCAGCATGTAGTAGAAGGGAAACCAGGACAGGAAGAGGTCCGAGAAGAATTCAGCAATGCTGAACACGCCGTACACCACCCAGTAAGTCAGCCACTGGGTGTCATCGTCTTTGTTAGGACTCTCGATGGCTTTCATTCTGAAAAGCAACACAAAAGAAAATACGTTGTGAATTAGTGAGATTCATTATTCCTTCACAGCCCGTTCTCCAACATCAGGCAGATGGATCAACTGTGGCAAACTTCACCTCCAGCTCTCAGGGGCCAGAGGCAGGAGGACCTCTGAGTTCCAGGCCAGCCTGGGCTACAAAACGAGACCCTGTCAAAACAATACAATCTCCCCAACAGCTCCTGGGATACCTTTTTGGTTTTGTTCTGTCTTTTAGAGAGAAACTGTAGCTGAGAGAGGAGAAACAGCATGTGTTACAAGTAGCGGAGATGGACTTATACCTAGGAGCACCTCCAAAGCCGGTGTTTACTGTACTGTAACCGGCCATTTTCTTCATTAGACCCTGGACAGCACCCAGCAAAATGTCTGGACAAGGTGGACATTTAACATTTACTAATCAATATAAGTACAATGGGAGGTTTGCAACCTTGCTTTGGGAAGATACCACTGAGATCTTGTCCTGGACTAGAAAAAGCCACGGCCCACAAAAAGAGCAGAGAAAAGGTCACAGTCTCAAAGTCTAAATCCCCAGGAGACCAGTCCGTCCTCCCCTCCTTACTTGGGCAGGGGAGGGTTCCATCAGAAGTGAAAGGGTGAAGGTCGGAGTTGGTGTTCCAGGCCGCTGACTCACAAACCTAGAGGATGACCATCTACAGCACCTGCAGCACTTGGTAAAACAGGATGTCTAGTCTTCTCGAGACCTACCCATTCAGACTCTGGGAGGCAGAGGACAGCCGCATGCCCTCAGAGCTGTATAGGAACCAGGTGTGATGGCACACACCTGACGTTCCAGCACTTGGAAGGTGAAGGCAGGGCAGTAATAAATAAAAGAGGGCTGGCGGGGGGGTGGTTTAGTGGGTGAAGCACACTGAGAAGCTGCGTCCGGATCCCCAGAACCCATGTAAATCCGAACCCAGCAACATGTGTCTGATCTCGGCACCACTACAGCAGACGAGAGACAAAAACAACCATCCTCGGAAGCTCGCTAGCCAGCTAGCCTGGCGGACACCGTGGCAAATAAGAGACCCTGCCTCCAATGAGGAAGGCAAAGACTGACACCTGATATTGTCCTCTGACCCCCACAGGGGGGCCATGGCAAGCATGTGCCAACCCACAAACATACACCCCAAACATGCTAAGATTTTTCTTTTTTAGAAAAGAAAATTGTGCATTGATCCCAATGGAGAGCCACACTTGACGACCATCATTTCAGATTTCCAGTCCTGACAGCACTACCCTACCTACTCATTTCTAAGAAAGAAAACCCCAGAAGCTCCATAGAATATTTAACTACATAAACTATGTGTTACATTTGTTTCTGCTGCCTTTGTTAGCGACTACAGATGTGTTACATTCCTGTGTGCTGCATCTGTTTAATAATGTACAGATGTGTTACATTTGCTTCACCTTGCGGGCCTAAGGCACCTGATTGGTCTAATAAAGAGCTGAATGACCAACAGCAAGGCAGGAGAGGGATTGGGGAAGGGGGCTGGCAGACAAAGAGAGTAAGTAGGAGGGGAAATCTAGACCTGGAAAAGAGAGAAGAGAAAAAAAAAAGGAGAAAGAGGGAGGGACATGCCCGGACAAGAAGCCAGGCAGCTGCCAGCCAGCCACAAGGAGCAGTGAAAGTAAGATAAACAGAAGGAAAGTAAACAGCCCTGAGGCAAAAGGTAGACAGACAGAAACAGGTTAATTTAAGTTAAAAGAGCTAGCCAGAAATGAGCTAAGATAAGGCTGAGCATTCATAAGCAGTAAGTTTCTGTGTCATGACTTGGGAGCTGGTGAGTGGCCCGAAAGAAAAAGCCTGGTACATGGTAGCCCAAGTGATTTCCCAGGGGCTGCACTGGAGGACAGTCACCTTTTCCCAGCACTGAGCAGACCCAGAGAGGAAAAGTGCACAGAAGACACAGAAGAGAACTTACAGCTGCAATAAACCCACTCCACCAGCCTGGAATGCACACCTGAACACTCTCAAGTGTGTAAGGAACTTGAGATAAAACATTTAAAACCGTTCACCGAGATTTTAACAACTACATCTAAAAGCCCACTATTTGCTTTGCTGGACCAAAGCCTCTGGTTCTTTTCAGTTTCCAGCTAAACTCCAGAGGCATTCTGGAACAATCCCAGAAGCCCCTGGCAATGACTGCGGCTCTCTGCGCAGGCCTGGCTTCATTGGAAGTGGCAGACACTGATCCTGAGCTCTGAACTCATGGAGTAAATACAGGCTCTTCTGGACACACTGTGGTCTCTCAGGTCCATTACTCTCTGCAGGCCTACACTACCAATTCTACCACTGATCCAAAGTCTGACCACCTCTGCTCAGCACTGCAGCCTCTTTCTTCTCTGTCCTGAGCCACTGACCATGGAGGAATGGAGCTCCTCTTCCCTAGAGCAGACGGCAAGGAAGAAGCTGAGCTTGGTGAATGACAGAGCTACGGTGGGAAAGATGGTTCGATGCTCTGGGGGAGTCGGCAATTCTACAAATTCATGGAAAATAAGGAACCACAAATGTTGAGTTGGAGGCATCTCAGAGATGAATTAACTAAATTCTCCATTTTTAAATTCTTATCTTTTTGGTATTTTCAGACAGGTTCTCGTGTAGTCCAGGCTGGCTTCAAATTTGCTGCACAGCTGAGGCTGGCCTTGGACTGCTCATCCTCCTGCCTCTGTCTCCCAAGTGCTGGGATTGTAGGAATGCACTAGCACACCTGGCCATGCTAGAGTGTGTGTGTGTGTGTGTGTGTGTGAGTGTGAGAGTGTGTGTGTGTGTGTGTGTGTGTGTGTGTGTGTGAACAAGGAGGTCAAAGAGGACAGAGTGGGGGCTGGAGAGATGGCTCAGAGGTTAAGAGCACTGGCTGCTCTTCCAGAGGTCCTGAGTTCAATTCACAGCAGCCACATGGTGGCTCACAACTATCTGTAATGAGATCTGGTGGCCTCTTCTGGCCTGCAGGCATACTGTATACATAATAAATAAGTCTTTAAAAAAAAAGAGGGCAGAGTGGTATCAAAATGCATTCTAATTCATTAAGAGATTATAGAGGCTCCACACAACACAATATTTAAAGGGGGAATGGTGTACTTAAACACATTTTTAATATTCTGATACCTTTATAAAGGACAACAATAAAGATGTCCTAGATACATTGCTAAGTATAAAAACATTCTCATTCTGTGTTAAAACGAAACAAGCAAACAAAGAAAAGATGTGTTTGTGTGCTGACAGACCAAGACAGGGGTCCGGAAAGCTTCCAGAGTATAAAACAGTCCTGAGTATTGGGGTAACAAACTTTCCTTCTTTAAGGTCTTTGTAATGAGCAGGACGAAGGGGCAGAGGAGAGTTCTATTCGAAAACCCTGAGCTCCACACTGTAACTACTGCTTCCTATGAGGCCAGTTTTCTCTGGAGCTTCGCTAGAAACAGACACTAAAGTGAACATACTCATGTAATTCTCTTGAGGAAATAGCTAATAGATTTCCTTATAAACAGTCTTCTCGAACAATGGCACAGTCTGTGCTTTGGGGATTAAAAGCCTTCGATACATACACAGAGAAACAGGAGAGACGCAAAGCCCAATGGATTAAATGGACTCATCTGAACTTTCTACTTGAACAAAATAAACTATCAAAACTTAATTTCTCTAAGTCAGGGTAACCGGGCACCACTTGACCACCCTGCCCACACCACCCATTCAAACCTGGGGCGGGTATTCATTCTCTCTGGGCTTTCGCTTGCTATCTACCAAGTGATATACCTTACTGTGTTGCTGTGACAATTACAGTGGTTAGTATATGTAATGCATTTGTAACACTGAATGGAACAGAATAAATACGTCCATAGTAGGTAATAATTATAGTAATGCTTGCTAGTACTCTTAGGGAGGTGAGCAGTCAGAGGCAGAAAAAGACCACTAGTTCTCTGACTAAGAGCTGGTAGAGGAATGTTATCAGTTAAGAAGGCTAAAAGGATAATAGAGAATTATAGATGGATTTTAATTATACCTCAAATCCTCTGTGCTCTAAGAATAAAGAGTTAGCCGAAATTCCCAGAGTCCTGTTTGCAGGTTAGTAGGGACATTTGGATACCGGTGAAACATTATTTGGGCCAACTCTGGAAGAAACACTGGGAAAAATTACTTTCTTTGGTACTGAACTGGTCCTGATCCACACGGGGCACTCCTGAGCCTCTCCCAGCCCACAGGGGCTCAACAGTTGGTGCTGGGTGACTCCCTCCTTGTTGGCCCACCTCCTTGTTCAGGCTCCACAGTTGGGTTTGTTTGCTTGTTGAAACGAAGCTGAGAACTGAGGATGTTCCGAGGGCAGCACCAAACACACAGGAAGAAACCAGAGCTGGGATGGTCCTGAACCACCCACTCCTCTCCCTCCCAAACCAAACGTCATCAAGAGAGCAGAAAGCACTCCCTGACGCAGACTGACCAGGCTGCAAGTCTCAGGTGATAAAGAGGTACCCATCTGGGTGCAGCTGTAACACACTCTGCTCTGGTAGTGATGCTGACAGGAGAGGGGCAGGGGCATGCGGGCATTTCTTGTCCATCTGCTCAATTTTGCTCTGGATCTATAATTACTCTTAAAAACCAGCTACTTGGGGCTGGAGAGATGGCTCAGTGGTTAAGAGCACTGTTTGGTCTTCCAGAGGTCCTGAGTTCAATTCCCAGCAACCACATGGTGGCTCACAACCCTCTGTAATGAGATCTGGCGCCCTCTTCTGATCTGCACGTGTACATGTAGACAGAGCACTGTATACATAATAAATAAATAAATCTTTAAAAAAAAAACAGGCTACTTAAAAAGAAAATTCTGCTTACAAACTAGGCATCTTACATTATTACCATTATACTGTTTTTGTTTGGGATTTTGGGGTAGGTGTTGTTTACTTTCTTTGTTACTGTTTTGTTTTCTTTTCCAAGACAAACAGGTTTCTCTGAGTAGCCCTGGCTGTCCTGAAACTCACTCA